ATGGCAGCCATAATGTAATTTATGGCAAGGCATGATACTCACATGATAACTCGCTAGGTCAGGCTGTACTAGGTACTGCAAATCTAGCCAATTAGGTTATAGGGCGGTGTCAGGGTTAAGTAGGTATATCGAGGTATTTTCCCAGTAATTCTTCCTTCTCTCCCTCGTCATCAACTCGGTCAGATCTCGAGAAAAATCTTTCCCTCCTCCTCCCCTTTCACCTTCCTGCGGGTTATTATTGTTCACGGTATTTCCTATTTCTTCTTTTTTCCTTTTCTTAAATATTTATTTTTGTAGTTTGTGGCGGATTTTTGTCGCTCCATTTTTTATTCAATAAGTTAATCGGTTTACATATATCGATGTGTTGTGATTCTGTTAGCTTTGATTTCATTAAACCTGCCACAACCGTGGCCAGATTTATCTAACACAGTTGTTTGGTTATATTTTAATTCTGTTCCTTATCGGAAAGTACCTAACCGGTTATACAAGCAGAGCTCGCGCAGAGTTGGGCCTTGTTTTGAACACATGCCTTGATATAAAATGCTTACTGAAGCGCTATTTGAAGATAACTTGCCAATCTTAATTATTAATTATAATTTATAATGAGATAGCCGTTTTATGGCAGGACCCATGTTACTTCGCTTGATGTAGCTCTGATACTCTGGCTATCGCTCCTTCTAGTTCAGCAAATCAAATCGCAGATAGTGTCGCATACTGGCGAGCAAACTTCATTGCATCCATAGGGGTCGCAAATCAAATTGCATACAACGCCGCAAACGACACTACAGACCCAATCACATATACCACGTTTCACACCTAGGAGAGAAACATAAACAGAAGGGCTATGTTATTTGAAGTGGTGATATAAGGTGGCTTACTACGTATACACTTTAGAAGAAAATTATCTTCATTTAAAAATCCTTAAATTTTAAACAACTGATTAGGTCTCGAAATTTGTACCGAAAAGGCGGTTTGCAAACATTGTTGAAATGTTAATAAGAAACAAGCAAAAAAAAAACCGATCGGTGCCTCAGTAAAGGGGTTAGAGTAGCCGCCTTATAAGCTTGTACAGCGCCCGAGAGCTTGCTCGAGCGAAGGCTGATTCACGAATCATACGAAATACTCCAGGTAGACACTTCACAGTCCTCTTTTTTTTCGTAAGATCTTTGAGATTGATATATGATTGAAGATCGCAAGTGTTCTAAATTACTTACGATTAGCAGGCCTTCGTGCCACTCTTGTTCCTTGGTTCAAGTGAGTCAGGTCTAATTCTCCTTCATCCACCTCGTAAATAGGGAGTTTTGAACACAGATTTGCCATTTCATCACTCAGATCAGAACGGTCGTCGATGGTAGAGACAACTTTTAGTTTGACTACGGTTTGAGGTACTACTTTTAGACCATTGCGATTTGCCTATTTAAAAGGTTCATTAAACAACAAACATTAATTGTTGAATATATGCACGTTGTCTGATTAAAAGAACCAATCAATGCTTTATTACTTTTTTTTGATGATTTGCCAATTTTGCAAAGTCTTAACTAAAATGGACGGGGAGGCCGGGTCAAGAGCTACTTTAACATAGCTACTTTTATGTTCTCTTGACTTTAATTATGAATTTTCGTAAATTCAAGGAAGCTCTAAACTCCTTCATCAAAATTCCTTTTTAACGTGGAAAAACATTGTACCATAGCATTCTGAAGATGTCTTAGTTTTAACCTAGGTTGATTCTCAATTTCCTTCGTGTTCCACGGCTAAGAGACAAAGGAAATTGAGAATCAACCTTTTGTAGGAGATCAGTCTGCGTGCAGAGGTCTCCTACTTCCTTTGTTGCACGAAGACATTGAAAACAACGGCGGATACTGGAACATGATTAGCTACGGGGTTATGCAGAAAAGGGACCTTTCTACGTGCAATAAAGGAAATATTAGACATCTGCGAGCGGGCTATGGTTAATAAATTTTGTTTCAATTTCTCTCTCTTCACACAGTTGTATTAATGAGTAGTGACGATATATAGCCAGAGGTGTAGCAATACTTCTGGGTGCTTCAAGCTTAGAAACCGGGCTTAACCGGCTGTGATATGATGGGCCTAGCTCTTGACTCGTGTTTGCCTAGTAACCTTATAACTTTAACATGCCCTCGAATCTAGTGAGACTCTTATTTCGCTGTGAAGGAAACCTTCTTCAGGGGCTAAAGAAAAATGAAAATAAAACTAAAGGGTTTGTTGCTGATATTTGTTTACAATTAAAGACTACCGCGGAACGACGAGGAACGGGATGTTTGGTGCGGGATTTGACTCTCGTTGCTCTTTCTTTGCTCCGAAACCGCACGGAAACGCTTTGCGACGCAGGCTATCTTTTACTTTACTTTCTACGCTTGTCAGTATGTTTTCTTCCTTGAAGCATGACCCCATACCAAAGTAAGCTCGTATATATTCCATTTACAGGCATTTTTGGATACTGATTTTCTCAGTATTAAATGCATTTCATTCCATACTTTTGTTCTGAATTCTACAGAAGGAATTTACTGGAATTATGAATATGTAGCTTCATGTACGATGTACTTACCACTTCTAGAAGTTGCTGTAGGTCGGATCGCTTGCGAGCATCACGAGTCGATTTTCTTAAATAGCAGGCTTTTGCTTCTGTCACTCGGAACATGGTCAAATTCTGCGGCAAATTATCACAAAAAAGGTTATTTCAATTTTTAGATCCCATTCCAGCTTTTCTGGCATAATTACAATTACAAAACAATTACAAATGAATAGAAGCTGTTTTGGGTCCACAATTATTTATTTTAAATTGCTCTTCAGCGCATATCAGGACTTAATTATTCTATTCCGCTCTTTAATTCATATAGAAAAAAATAAATTCCCTTGTAGTGTTAAAACTAAACTGACCAGATGCTTTCGATGAAGAATACCTATTGGCTGAGCTACACTGAATTTGTTCTTACAAGAAACAAATTTTATACTATACGGACAGTCAAGCGAAGCAAACCATTTAGATGGTTAACCCAAGCCGAGTAAAAATATGAACTGAGCTGGGCGAGAAGAACTTTTGTCTAGGAAGTTAAGTAATTCAATAATCCGCCACATTGTATAACCATCAGTTGTCACGTGACCCAGCCCAGCCTCATTCAATGTCTGTGAGGTTATGCTATCGTTAGTGCGTTATTTTGTTCCCTTACCTTTTTGAAATCGTAGATTACGTCTCCCGAGGCCATATCCGGTGAAATCTTTGGCAAGTGGAAAGTTTCTGTGTCCTTTTCTTTATCCACTTTATCGACCTCTACCTCTACGTCGAATTCTGTTCCATTTACAGACATCCTAATCGTGTATTTTGCAGTGGAATCCTGCTAGGAATAGCATATAATTTTACAATTTACTTTTACGTAACTCACTCTCACCAATCTTAAACATCTGAAAGATATCTTTTTAATTAGCTACCGACTAACCAGTTCAATTTCCAAAGAAACTGAACAAACAGAAAATTCATTAAGGACAGAGAATATAAGTTCCTCTTCTTCAGGCAGGTCGTAAGACTTTAGATTCAGTCGTGAAACTTTAAAAAGTACAAACACTTAATTTGTGTGTTACATACTATATAACGTTACGTGTTATTCGGCTCTTGCCTGATGACGTCAGAGAACTTGTTTACCTTTGATGATATGGTACATTTCACATTTATTTTAACTTTTCGACGTCAAAACGATCTGAAGACGGCCCCTTTAACATGATTCCGACTTTAAGGTGATCAGTTCATTCTATAGGCTTTTCTGTCATTAGTGATTGTTAAGTCCTAAGGGCAAACTTTACACGGCTTACCTTTTTCTCAAGGCCACCTTTGCGCAAAGAGGAAGCCGAAACGGTCCGAGAAAAAAGACCAATGCACAAAATAAACAGTTTGAATACCTAGAAAGAAAAAACAACAACGGCATGCATACATAAACTAATTTGTATACTTTTCGTGTAAGATACCAAACGCATGGTGTGATAACTAACTGAAAGTAATTAGCTAATAACTCTTAGTTACTTTCTTTTAATTCACCTGACGCTCAAACCAACATTTTTCTTTAAATTGTAGTTTGCACGCATAGCCAGGCTTCCTGCTCAAATCATCTGAAAAGACAATGACGAATACTAAAATAAACTTCGCTTACCATTTTGCGTTTTGAATATCACCCAAAGACGAATTTTTTCACCTGGTAAAAGAGAGGATCAGATCTCTTACGAGCTTGATGTCTGACTTTTTATGCTTGCGTTTACTTCAAACTACAAGATATTTATACCCTTCCAAGGCTCTTGTCACAGGGGGGCTGTTGTGAAGTATTTTGTAGGTTATTTTAAGTTTATTTCGTGTTTGTGCTTGACGTTTCACTCGTGACTAGAGTCTTGTTATGATCAGTTTGTAGATCAAGGTTAATCCGTATATGTGTTAACAGGTTTTTGAGTGCTATTATCTTTTTAATGGGTTTGTCGACCAAAGTGTCATACTAAGAGGCATGTGACATCGTTTTTATGAAAATGAAAGTTATGATTTTGCCTTTCCAAAAATAATTAGTGGGTCATATCTTAAACAAAATAATGGTGATTTGGTTTTTCGGTTTTTGGTTCGTAAATGGTCACGTGACCAAAATGTGATTTTTAAAATTATGAATTACCTCTCTCCGAACACAAATTTTGCACTTAAACTTCAAGGAAAATGTTGAAAAACATGATGTGATAACGTTTACAGCACATCTGAGCGTAAATATGAAACGTTGAACAAGATATAAGCAAGAAGTAGTTTTGGCCGCCATGTTGGAGGGCAAAAGCATGCCCTCCAACATGGCGGCCAATACAAATCATACTACTTTGCTGAAAAATCAAAGTGCCATAAAATATCTCCCTTAAATGCGTTTCCTCTCAAATTTCGGGTGTAAGATAATTTTTGTGTGCTCTAACAATTTTTGGCATCAGCAAGATTTCAACTCATCGTTTAAAGGAAGCATTGGTCACGTGACCTCTTAGTGCAAGTGGCCTATAAAGTTTGATTGTCAGTTTTTAAGTGGGTACGTTTTGGGAACATTACTGACCTTGATTGTTACCTACATCAGAGTTCCTGTTTTGGTTTAAGGTAGAGTCTCCTGGGTTTAGCTGTCACGCTTTCATTGGTTTTCTTATGGGTTTGTCTATTCCACTTTGGTTATCAACAGGAAATTCGTTTAAGTCACTCGGAAAAGCGTTTGTAACTCTCATGGTCAGCAAGCCTAGACGTACCTACGTTTTACTCATATAAGTTGCCAGTGTTTAGCACGAGTAGAAGAGAGAGTGTTGAGATTAGTTACAGCTAGTTGTCTAGCAGAATTCGTTAAGTGATGCTGTAAACAAGACATATGAGCTGCTTTAAAGATTAAAGAACACCAAGATGTAAACTCAGATACCTGGTACCCCTACGCTCAGCGAGCGAGTTGCTCGTAAACCCCCTACACATTTTGGTGGAGAACCCGTTATTTTGTTGGAGAACCTGAGTCTATTTTGGTGCAGAATTCCTTATTTTGCTGTTCATGGTGGTTTAAAACAAGTCAGGAGTGGAAGATCCGCCTTTGAAATCTGTGAGTGCTACGCCGAATGTTGCCATTGCAAACATTTAAGAACTCTGTTTAAGTTTAAATTTAGTCGTATGTAGGTGGAAAGTCGTATGTGTAAGGCAAAATCATAATGACAGAACTTTTTATTTAAGTAATGTATAGGCTTGCTGTTGAATTCCCATTATTTTACNGGTAGAGTCTCCTGGGTTTAGGTGTCACGCTTTCATTGGTTTTCTTATGGGTTTGTCTATTCCACTTTGGTTATCAACAGGAAATTCGTTTAAGTCACTCGGAAAAGCGTTTGTAACTCTCATGGTCAGCAAGCCTAGACGTACCTACGTTTTACTCATATAAGTTGCCAGTGTTTAGCACGAGTAGAAGAGAGAGTGTTGAGATTAGTTACAGCTAGTTGTCTAGCAGAATTCGTTAAGTGATGCTGTAAACAAGACATATGAGCTGCTTTAAAGATTAAAGAACACCAAGATGTAAACTCAGATACCTGGTACCCCTACGCTCAGCGAGCGAGTTGCTCGTAAACCCCCTACACATTTTGGTGGAGAACCCGTTATTTTGTTGGAGAACCTGAGTCTATTTTGGTGCAGAATTCCTTATTTTGCTGTTCATGGTGGTTTAAAACAAGTCAGGAGTGGAAGATCCGCCTTTGAAATCTGTGAGTGCTACGCCGAATGTTGCCATTGCAAACATTTAAGAACTCTGTTTAAGTTTAAATTTAGTCGTATGTAGGTGGAAAGTCGTATGTGTAAGGCAAAATCATAATGACAGAACTTTTTATTTAAGTAATGTATAGGCTTGCTGTTGAATTCCCATTATTTTACGGCAACGAGAGAGAAGATGTTCGCGAGTTTATTGATAACTATAGCCGGGCCGATATATTAAATGGTTGGGATGAAGAATAATTGGCGCTTGGTCTTCCTCTTTTTCTAAAACATCAAGCCAGCGTGTGGTTTAAAACTTTATCAGGGTCAGAAAATTTTACTTTTGAAGTATTGTCACAAAAATTAATTGCTCATTTTGAATCAAGTGCAACTCTGTGGCAGGTGAGACAAAAATTAGAAGAACGTCGTCAGTTATTAGGGGAGACTGTTGCCGATTACTATTATGATATTCATTCATTCTGCTCTCGTCTTAATTTACCTAAAAGTGAATGGCTTTATTGTTTTGTACGAGGTCTAAGACCTGAGACACGTGACCACGTTATTTTGCAACAGCCAACTGAAGTGGACTCCGCTTTGAATTTTGCGAGATAAAAAGAATTAGTTACTCTTGGTAAATCGAAAAATGGTCAAGAAGTTGAAGAAAGTTCGAAGTTTAAGTCTAATCCCTCAAAAGAGGATATCAAACAAATTCTGAGAGACGAATTAAATGTATGGACTGAAACTTCCCAAAATAATGAAAAACATCGACATGTTAATCGGAAATTTCGATCATGCAATTTTCCTGTCCATTGTGGAGGCACCGTTTTTGGTAAAAAGCCGAAATTGGGCAGATATAGAAATTTCAAACCTAATTTTAAACGCTTGCATCGGAGAAACAATACGCAGAATGTTTTTAACCAGGGAAAAATTGGCGCTCGGTTAAACTGGCTGGCGCCCCTATCGTAAGTGGTAGTGAACCCGTTATGGGGGCGCTTGAAAATTCTACAAGAAATAACCATTCTTCCGTCGGATCTAGTTCTGATAAATGTGCTTTCAGTAACTCTGGAAATTCGGCCGAAGGTGTTACTAAAAAGCATGTTCAAGAGTTTAGCCATGTTGTGTATAATCCCTGTGAGCCTATTGTTACGCCAAATTCTAAACTATTTAAACCTCAAGTTTCCGTCACATGTCAACATGAGTGTTCTCAAGATTGCCAACCTCAAAATGTCCTTAATGAAAATATTTTTTCGCAGGCCATAACACGATGTGAACATGTAGTCGCTGCGTCATTGCCGAAGAAAAGCAAAATTGTTCAGTCTTTAAATGTTCCTGTGTTCTCTCCCAACCAAGAAATGGATTACGAGAAGTCTTTAAATGACAATGTATCCCAAGAAGTTGGAGAGACGAAAGAAGAATTGGCTCCTGAGTTTAAAAATGAAAACAAATTGAAAGTTAATGACGTCGAGTCTAAAGTTATTGTTTCTAAAACATGTCGTGGCTTATCTGTCTCGAGTGACCCTGAGGCTGGGTCGCACGTGACTGACAGTGTTTCTTTGCCTGCCAATTCCTGTAGACTTGGTTCTATTTATTGAGCTATTTTGAAATAGCTCATATGTCAGTGGTGTGAGCGTATGTATCTTTGTGGCTTTGTATCTTTGTATGTTGGGATGTTGGTTGCAAGAGCCAATAAGGTTGAAGGTACTATGAGTTGATGCTTAGGAACCAATGAGATCTTGGCATCTATTTAAACATGGCATTGGTAAAGATCGAACAATGGCACTTTGAGACCGCCATCTTGATCCTTCACAATGTTTTCGTCTTTTATTACGGGTACAGGTGTTTGGAAGCATTACATAAAACATCTTCATGATTCAAACGCTGTGAACAGTGATGCAGCTGTTTAAGGGTTCATATTTTAGTGTGGATGCTGCTTCAAGACATTTGTGACTGATTCGGCTATCGCGAACGGTACATCGCACGTATTTATGAGTTGCGTTTCACCCACTTCAAGTTAGAGTATAAAAGATCATATATTTTAAAAGCTCTTCCAGTGAAGCAATAATTGATATTTAGATATGGACTTTAATTTGAAAGTATGCGGCCTATAAAATGTGATTTTACAAGTTTGAAAGGCCGTTTCTTTTTTCAAAGCTGTACCGAGTATTGTTAATTCTGTAAACAAGCTTTAAAAATATTATTCTCTCGCTTACAAAGTTCAACAGACCTTTTTTTTTTCGTTCCGGCAAAACAAAAAAAAATAATAAGTGAACAACATGATACATCCTTCCTGCATACTAAGCATTATAGTTATAGAAACGTATTTTATTTAGTAAAGATGAGTAACTTAAGTAGAAACAACCGCGTTAGGGAATACAATTGGAAGAAGCAATGGGGGCGCTTGAAAATTCTACAAGAAATAACCATTCTTCCGTCGGATCTAGTTCTGATAAATGTGCTTTCAGTAACTCTGGAAATTCGGCCGAAGGTGTTACTAAAAAGAATTTTCAAGAGTTTAGCCATGTTGTGTCTAATCCCTGTGAGCCTATTGTTACGCCAGTCTAAACTATTTAAACCTCAAGTTTCCGTCACATGTCGACATAAGTGTTTTCAAGATTGCCAACCTCAAAATGTCCTTAATGAAAATACTTTGTTTGAAGTTATTAAGTGTCTTTCGCAAGCCATAACACGATGTGAACATGTAGTCGCTGCGTCATTGCCGAAGGAAAGCAAAATTGTTCAGTCTTTAAATGTTCCTGTGTTCTCTCCCAACCAAGTAATGGATTACGAGTCTTTAAATGACAATGTATCTCAAGAAGTTGGAGAGACGAGACGAAAAAAGAATTGGCTCCTGAGTTTAAAAATGAAAACAAATTGAAAGTAAATGACGTCGA